TATAAACATTGCTATGATTTTATGAATAATATAAAAATTTAGGAGAGTAAACAAAAAACTAGGTAGTATGTAAAAGTTTTAATTTAGGAGAGTAAACAAAAAACTAGGTATGTAAAAGTTTTAATATTATAAGCTATAGTTTTTAAATGAATAAAAAAATATTAAAGACTGAAAAAATTGAACCGAATGAAAAGATATAAGGTTGTTACCTTATATCTTACCTGAAAAGATATGAGGTTGTTCTCTTATTCGACTAAATCGATTAGTAGAAAAATCCATTGTCGATTTTCAAAGTCGGCTTATTTCAACTTTCGACTAGTTAATCAAAATTATAATTTTTAAACTTAATTAAAAATAAAATTGATTCTTATTCAACTTGATAAATAAAAATTAAAAAAAAATAAACAAATTTAAATCTAAATTGCTATAAGTTCATTCACGGATTAACTCCGTTAATTATGGCGAAAGCAAATATATTATTTATTTTACTTAAAAAATGATATTGACTCAAAGTAAGAGATCGTCCATAAAGTACATACGCTCGGAGGGAAAGAGGGGTCTGCAAATGGCGTATATGAGATTGGACGGCAGTGGGTGAATTATGAAAGAAAGAAAACACTAAATTAAAGAAATATTATAAAATGTTAGACAAATAGGTTAAAAACGTAGGTACTTTTAGGGAGGTAGAGGGTACTCAAAAAAAGCGTATTGTAAAATGCGGGGGAGGGGGAGGGGGAAAAGTTGACGAAAAAAAGGGTGCAAACTTTATGAACAACCGCTAAACAAAATTGTGTTTAAATATGTCATTTATATATAAATAATTATGACATCATCTTCTCATTTTCAAGAGGCGAGTTTTTAACATAATTTAAAAATATTTTTAATATTTAAACAATTTCTTTTTTAAATTAAATTGTTTTGTTTTTTTTAGTAATTTGTAAATCTTATGGATACTTTTTTAATTAGACCTTTCTAAAGTCAGAGATATTACCTCACCATAACTCACTAAAGCCAGAGAAATTACCTCACCATATCTCACTAAAGCTAGAGGCTACTACAGCCGAGGAGGTTGTTTCCTTTTTTTTTTACCTTTACTAAAAATTTTTTATTTATAACTCTCTCTCTATCAATCATAAACAAGAACACGAATCTGGTTTTAAAAAAGCCGTTGCGCGGAGAAGCAGGTTGAGTGCATTACTTCCAAAAGCGTAGAATGGTTTTGAATCTCAAACCTCGTAATTATAAGCCGACTTATCTACTAACGCATTTATTGGAGAGTGACTAGCGATGTTTGTTATGCTAAAAATAACAACTTGGTTTGGCAATGAGGGTTGCTAGCTTAATCCATTTAACGACTAATTAGCGATAGCTTGCTGCCATAAATTTTGTTGTAACTATATAAATGCGATATGGTTATCATTAGCTTTAAATATACTTTGTGTAGAAATTATTGATATAAATTTACCAGTAAATTTTGATTTAAAAATTTAACTGAAAGTTACCAATAAATTTTAGGATATCCTCTTTTTAATTAAAATACCATGGTGATCAGTTATAACCATGGTGATTAGCTATAGCATATATTTTTAAAATTTATCTTAGGTAAATTTTTTAAAATTATTATAGATCAAAATTTTATGCATATTTTTGATCTGCAAAAAAGAACAATATGTTTCTTAATAAGTTTTTGTTGTTTTAATCCTAAGTTTAGAAACAAGTTCATAGCAACGCGTAGCAACGGAGAGAATGCACTTTTTTTGTGCTTTTTCAGAACTTCTGCTTCAAATACAGATTAAGATTTATATCCTATTTGCAACCTAATATTCTGTTTTTTATTATATGCAGTATATATTGCTTCTAAAATATGGTTATATCAAGTTATCAAAGCTTATTTATACAACAACATAAACAGCTTATGTGGGTGCATTTGAAACGACATAAATATTATTATTGGTATAAGTCAGTTATTTAAATTTATGAAAAATTTAAATTGAAACTAGGGCACTTTACTTTAGCCGGTTACAGACTTATAAACAAAAAGTTAATAGAGATATCATCATTTAGGACGAGTGAAAGTTTTAGGCTTAAACCTAGGATGACTTCAACACTTATCAAAAAGCGATTAGCCAAAAAAATATGCTGGGAATACTATGAACCTGCTAACTTTCAAAATAACTTTTCAAAAAGTCATATTTTTTCTAGTTAAATTTTAAAAACACTTTTTTATAAATTTATTTTTTGTTGCGTTTTCCAAGACTTTGTATTTCAGGCACGCCGTTAAAAAAATCTCAAAAAGTATAAATGATGAAATTTTCAGGGATTGTTCATTTTATCAATATTTGTGATACGAGTGGAGTAGAATCTCTAATTAAATTTTAGATTTTGAGTTATTGAGTTTTTTATTTTAAGCTTTTTTTTTTATTAATTAATTTGTTTTTACTTTTTTAGAAAAAAACTAAACTTATTAAATAATCGGCTCCTCTCATATCACATTTTTTTATATTTAGAACAGTTTTGCAAAGTCACAGTATCACTACTTTACTCATTCTTCTTTTTTTTTTACAGCGTAAACCTAGTTTTTTTTTGGTATTTTTAGCTATTTTTATTGGTTACCATAGCAGCGAGCTACCATTTTACATTACACATGTTTTTTCATTTTTAATGTTAGTACAATATTTTCTGTTTGGAATAAGAAAAAGTTAGTTTATATGCGTTGTTTTAAAAATTGAAGGTAGTTGCCCATTATTAGATAGTGTTTTGCAACACTAGTATCTATTAAGTTAACAATACGTGTTAATAGTATTAACACGTATTATCGATGATGTTTGTTACAAAGTAATGATTTGTAGCAATTGACACGTCTAATTAATATTTAAATATAAAAATATAATATAAAAATTTACTTTTGACAACCAAAAATTTTTTTTTTATCATTAGTAATTTTGCAAAGAAAATGAATAAATCTAACAATAACAGCAATTAAAAAGTTTTTTAATTGTCACTACGAGACTAGATTGCTTACAATTTAGGGAAATGATTGAAAATGGTTGGAAACCGTTAAGAAAGTTTAATTACCACAGAGGATTGTTTACGTGACAAACACTTGCGGTGAAAATGTTTTCAATGGATATAAAAAATCGCTTGTTATTCCGGCTAAGGCCGTTACTTTAGAAACACTAAATACTTATACATAACATATTTCTATATTAGATAGTATTAAAAAATATATTTATAAATACTATTTCTAATATTTAATAAAACAAAAATTACATTTTAGATACGAGCTTGAATTCAATTTTTTCAAAATATAAAAGAATAAAAAAAGTTTTGTTAATAAAAGTTAGGGATTTCCCCATAAATGCTGCAGTCTCTGCATATAAGGGAAACTCCCTTGTTTATAATTAGTACAAAGTGTATAGAAACGATCAGAAATACAAGAGTTTAAATAATCTGATTTTTGATATGTTACCAAGTAAGGTCCAAGGTCCAAAACCTTTTTTTTTACAGCCATTAACCCAACCGTGTTATATGTAAATTAGAAAGTTCAACATTAAACACGCCAATTTTTCTATTAAATAAAAAATTTGAAGATATTGTTAAATTAAATTAAAATTTTGAGTTTTGCTCAGCACTGGCCTACTGCCATTGCAGAGTTTGTTTTTTATCTTAGTAGCTTCAACTAAATTTTTACTTTTTGTACTTATAAAATTAATTCGATTGAACTCCAAATAAAATCATCAGTTCACGATTTATTATTTCAATTATTTAAACAGGTGATGCCAATTCAGAAAAATAAATATTTTATGAGACTGTTTTTTCATTGGGTCTTGCTTATAATAGTTAAAAGTGTATAAATAAATAAATTCAATTATTAAGATTGCTAAAATATTTTAATAGATAATACAATAAAAAAGTTTAAAAAAAAAAAACAACAGTTTTTAAGAATTAGAAATACAAAACTCTAATATAAACATACGCGTATACTTTACATATATAAGTATTTCATACCAAATAGTTATAACAGCAGTGGCTACACCACTGCATAGTATTACGGTAAATAGTAGCAAATTGGCCGTCAAAATATTAAATATTTTTAAAAAATACGAATGTTTGATAATTTGCTTTGTTACTTTGTTAAGTTTGCAGCTCTTATCGAAATATTATTTTGTTTGCAAAGTAATTATTTTTGCCGGTAAATAGTTTTATAGGTTTTTTAAGAAGCTAATTTAAAAACTGAACTTACACTACTAAAAAGGTTCGATTGATTTTTTTTTTAATTAATCCTATCGCAATTGAACATTTTCACTTTACGGGTTATGTTAAAAAAAAAGCAGAAATAAAAAGCAAATCACCTACAAACTTTAAGCGTTTTTCGGGGAGGAGCCATTATTTATCATCAAAACAATGATATAATTTTTTGAGAAAGAATTAAAAAATAATAAGTAATAAAAAAATTAAGCATGGTAGCAACATTGTTTTATAAATGTTTTGTTATCTTAAAATTTTAAACGAGAAAAATAAATAAATAAAAAATGCAATTAAACTTCCCCATCAAGGAAGTGTAATTTGTTGTAAAATAGTTTTATGAATGAATTTATAAAATATTCAGGCATGTTCAGACATATTGATAGCAAAAGGGAACTTCCAAACTGTTTTAAATTTTTGACCGGGGGAATAATAGTTTTGTTAGGATGTTTTAAATAAAATAAAAATAAAATTACGAATTTAAAAAACTTTAACAAGTATATCCTTTTTTTGTTTTTGTTTTAATTTATAAAAAAAAAAGTATATTGTATACATCAAAGTGGAAATATTGTTTTTTATCTATTGATATCTTTACACGATATTTTTATAGTGCAAATTTAGCAAAAAATTTATTTACAAGAAAAAAAATTTTATATAAATTTTAAACCAATCAAATTAATGAAACTTACTTTAAATTTAACCAATCGTTTTGATTAAAATACGAGTTTATGTTCACTGAGTTTGCTCATTCATGAATTTCGTCACTTGGGAAACTCCAAACGCGAAGCAATATGGTTCTTGTCAGAGATGTGAACTCTCACTGCAACATAAACATTTATTTTTAAATATTTTGGTAAAAGATAACGTTTTTTTATGCTCTTTACTTTCTTTACTTCTTTAATGACATAATCTAATTGTGGTAGTTATTATGCTTAAGAGCTAATTTTATTTTACAGTATATAAATAATGTTGTCCTTTGGGGAGTTTATACCAGCTACTTATTCCAATTTGTTGTATCATACGGAGTTATTTCAAAAGTCACAATCAATGAAGTTTTCAACTCGGAATATGATGTTTGAAAAGAAAAATATAATACCTGGGAATCTGAAAAAAGAA